GGGCTCCAAGAGTGACAGTGTGGTGGTCAAGGGGCCCAAGAACTGCGTAGAAGGAGCCGTGGCCCGCATCGCTGAGATAGTGGCTGACTTGGTATGCTTACTGAAAAGAAAGCTGCAAATGTACACTGGGAATTGATACTGCATGAGGACCTGTTTGCAGATCGGATTTTTTAGTTGACCTTATATCTTCTGTCATTTTGGCACAGTTTCAGCAAAGTGTGTTGGGAGATGTCTCTTGCAGCCTACTTGATTATGCGATTTTGCATGCGATTTCGAAACATTGTTAACCCTACTGTAGCATTAGACAGTGGACATAAGTACAGAACTGAATTTGCTGGCCATCAGCAGGTCTCTATATCGCAGTGTGCAATGTGTGATTACTTCAATGTACGATTGGGCCGGTGATTCCAACTCACATGATGGATTAAAGTGAAGGCAATGGTAATCTCTGACCATTGGTTTTTTAAAGTGCTGTACTTGCATTCATTGAGGATTTATTCATTTAAGAGCAACTCTAAGGAAAACATGGTTTCTCTGATTTTATCTGCTCAAATAAATATGGAAGCATCCAAATCGAACGCAGAGCCATTTGTCAAGCTTAAAAGGTTTTTTTCTGTTCATGCCAAAATGCGAATTTTGAATGTAGCTTGCGTAATTCTGAGAAAAAAAAAGAAAACGAGGGGAACCCTGGCCCAGTGTTCGTAGTTGATAAGCCCTTATGCATGTCAAGCTATGCATGTAGCCATTGTTTGACATGGGGTTTATCCACTACGAACACAGGGCGAGGGTCCCCCCCGTTTTCCCAGGATGACGCAATCTACGTTCAGCATATTGTGAGTTTGGGTTGGGGCGCAACTCACAAGTCTCGAGCCAGTAGTCCCCGTTTCTTTGTCAGTTCATGGGCACAGATTTGCTTTATTAACTTGCTCGTGCCATTTCTTTTGATTGTATCAGAAATCACAAGTCACCGTGGAGTGCTGTATCGCCCAGAAGCATCACTGCACCATCATGGGGGCCAAGGGCTCCTGCGTGCAGGCCATCACCAGCCAGTACGAGGTGGGCATCAAGTTCCCCGACCGCAACCCGGCAGCCGAGCACACTGAAGGTAAGGACTCAAAGCAGTGGAGTGGTTGACGTAGGGGCTTTTGTGCCCCAGATTATGTAGTTACTGATACCTGCAGTGACCTACTGTCGTTCAGGCACGGACCGATGAGACTGGCATAGCTTTCTGCACCATCTTGGTAAACTCTAAGCTGCCCCCAGAGCTGTGCTAGCTAAATTCAAACCCTTATGCAGGGGCTTATGCATTTTTTGGTGTGTTTGCTGTTTTTATCGAGTTTTCTTGCGTGCATTCTGTGCGCTATCAATGCTATGCCATATTGCTTTGGTTCAGCTGCAGCACTAGTGAATTACAACAGCACTACAACTCTCTCGTTTTTAGAAATAGAGGTGGTCCCTGTCCCAGATGAATGGTTGAAGGTTGCGTTCGTTCTTTTCCTTTCTGTTGACTGCAGACGGTGACGTGGTCCTGAATGGCGACAACAACAGCGACGTCAGTGAAGACGACAAGCCCAAGAAATGTGACATCATCCTCATCACGGGCAAGAAGGAGAACTGCATGCTGGCCAAGGAAGCACTGGAGGTTGGTCATGTAGAAATGAGTCTTTCAAGGGTTACATGTTGTGCGATTTCACTGCTCACGAACGTGAACAAAGTAAAGAAAGTCTTGCTGTGGTGTTAAAATGAAGGAGACATTTATATTATTCTTATGTTAAAAGGTGGATGGCTGTTGGATCTTCTGACACCATGTATGTTTAGGCCTTTTGTTAGTAGTAGTCATGGTTTTTGCCATCCAGTGATAGCAAATCAATGGCTGGCTGCCAGTTAAAAAACAAAGGAATAATCCATAATGATAACTTTTCCTATTGACTGTTATCGATGCATGGACCAACACACGTCAGAATCTGAACTACATGTATTAAATGACAGCAGAGCCCTTCATCGGATTGCACTGAAAATTTGACAGAGGGACTCTTTAATGAATTTGTTGATGTTGCTAAATTCCTTAAAGGATGGTCACAGGACAGCCGATATCTCCAGCAGAAGATAGCAGAATACATTACTTTTTGAGTCAGTTAGTTAAGCAGCCATAAATTCACAGCTGAGGCTGACAGGGTCATTTTTCCAACTCTGTGCGATACAGGTGAACATTGCGATCCCCCCAGCTGCGCAGAAATCCAACCTGGTCAAAGTGAGTGGGCCCGCTGACAATGTAGACAATGCCGTGAGAGCCCTGAAGGCCAGGGTGGACGAGCTACGTCTCTCTGAGGAAGACAGGGTGAGCTTATCTCTTGACCTCTGACCTTTTCCATCCCCGCTTCTCAGCGGGGATGGAAATCCCCGGAATAAATGCACAGATTCTTAAATTAATCAAGCATAAAATTTCCCACAGGAGGGCATGTTCAAGTTATTCCACTAAATTTTTGGCCTGTCTCGTTTCTCCACCCCCGCAGCTGCAAGAGATTGACGAGACGGCTGAGTTGCAGCAGTACACCAGCCCAGCCGCCAGGCCGATTCCCAGCAGACCAAGGCCAACAGCCCTGGGTTTGTTGTGCGTGATGCCCCCTGGAGCAAGCCCCCAGACACTACCAACACCATGGACTTCCCCAGCATCGGTGCCAGCAGCAGCGGCGCTGGTCCCAAGCCTGCCGCCAGCTTGGCTGCATCCTGGGGAGCCTGGAAATGCTAAATCCCAGGTATCTNGCGAACTGTTTTCAAGATGTATTTTTTTGCGTTGGGGAGATGTTAATTATATATAGCAGGTTTGCCCTTACCCAAGGTATATTAATAAGCACTGTATGCTCAGTGCTTGTCCGAGAGCTTACATTTACAGTGCATGTGTACAGGCACATGTGCCAAGTGCCGTCGGGGCTTATGCATTTTTTTGGTGTGTTCGCTGTTTCTATCGAGTTTTCTTGCGTGCATTCCGTGCGCTATCAATGCTATGCCATATTGGTTTGGTTCAGCAGCAGCACTAGTGAACTACAACAGCACCACAACCCTCTCGTTTTTAGAAATAGAGGTGGTCCCTGTCCCAGATGAATGGTTGAAGGTTACGTTTGTTCTTTTTCTCTCTGTTGACTGCAGACGGTGACGTGGTCCTGAATGGCGACAACAACAGCGACGTCAGTGAAGACGACAAGCCCAAGAAATGTGACATCATCCTCATCACGGGCAAGAATGAGAACTGCATGCTGGCCAAGGAAGCACTGGAGGTTGGTCATGTAGAAATGAGTCTTTCAAGGGTTACATGTTGTGCGATTTCACTGCTCACGAACGTGAACAAAGTAAAGAAAGTCTTGCTGTGGTGTTAAAATAAAGGAGACATTTATATTGTCATCAAGGTTAGCAGGTGCTCAATTATTCTTATGTTAAAAAGTGGATGGCTGTTGGATCTTCTGACACCATGTATGTTTAGGCCTTCTGTTAGTAGTAGTCGTGGTTTTTGCCATCCAGTGATAGCAAATCAATGGCTGGCTGCCAGTTAAAAAACAAATGAATAATCCATAAATGTGAAAATGAAAACAAATACTAGAACATGAATCGTAATTCCATGAAATACTGGACGGAAATACTTCTCTCCCAAACACACTGGACAGAAATACTTCTCGCCCGAACACTTGAATGGGTATGTACGCTTTGAGGGAATTTGCTGTTAGCAGCCAGAGTTTAACTTCTGTCAGCATGAACAATCAGTACGTGTTTTTATCCTCAAGTGTGTAATTCTGTAGCAAGCCACAGCATTTTTGGTTGCCTTCCCCTTCTGACAGAAACTTGTCCCTGTGACTGAGGAGGTCGAGGTGCCGTTTGACTACCATCGCTTTGTCATCGGCCAGAAAGGTGCCGGCATCCGACGCATGATGGAAGACTATGACGTAAGGCGTACCCCACCTGTACAGATTCATGTTTGTCTTTCCTGTTTGCTAAAACTATGTCTGCCATTTCCAAAACCTGAAGAAACCTTAAATCTCTACCACTGAGTTTATTCCCTGGCTTTGATGGGCTGAAGTTGCTCTCCCAAACATTTTCCCGGATACTGACGCTGTGCATTGTTTGTCGCGCCGAGCCATCAGAAGTTTTTCTCATCGATGTCTTGTGGTCATTTTGATACTCATTTTATGAAAACTGAACTTGCCTTTCTCTCAAAATGGCAATTTTGCCGAGATCTTGGTCCTAAATGATAACTTTTCCTATTGGCTGTTATCGGTGCATGGACCAACACACGCTAGAATCTGAACTACATGTATTAAATGATAGCAGAGCCCTCCATTGGATTGCACTGAAAATTTGACAGAGGGACTCTTTAATGAATTTGTTGATGTTGCTAAATTCCTTAAAGGATGGTCACATGACAGCCGGTATCTCCAGCAGAAGATAGCAGATTACATTACTTTTTGAGTCAGTCAGTTAAGCAGCCATAAATTCACAGCTGAGGCTGACAGGGTCATTTTTCCAACTCTGTGCGATACAGGTGAACATTGCGATCCCCCCAGCTGCGCAGAAATCCAACCTGGTCAAAGTGAGTGGGCCCGCTGACAATGTAGACAATGCGGTGAGAGCCCTGAAGGCCAGGGTGGACGAGCTACGTCTCTCTGAGGAAGACAGGGTGAGCTTATCTCTTGACCTCTGACCTTTTCCATCCCCGCTTCCCCACTTCCTGCCCCAAAACTAGTAACAGCGTTATTTTATATTTGGTGTTTCGACCTTCAGCGACAGTTACAAACACATAGTATTTGGAGTTGAGCGGGAGATTGTGTAAAGTGGTGTACCTAAAGGTTACCCCGTTGGCTGTTGAGGCTCTGGTAAGACAACATTTGGGTTTGGTACTCTCCTTGGGGAAAGCCGTGAGTAACGTTCTTTGTTTTGACCCCGGCACAGCGCCTGCAAAACTTCTCGGTGAGCATCGATGTGGACGCCAAGCACTATCCCAAGATCATCGGTCGCAAGGGCGCCATCATCTCCAAGATCAAGGACGACCACAAGGTCAAGAGCATCCAGTTTGCCGACCGCAATGCCGCCAACCCCAACCTCATCACTGTGGTGGGCTATGAGAAGAACGCCCTGGCTGCCCGGGACGCCATCATGGACATCGTTCACAACTTGGTAAGGAGAGAAAAAAAAATAATAAATTCTTGGCATGCCTGGCATTAATCCTAACCATCCTAAGAATCAGTGGCTTTTGTACACATCGATCATAATTGCGATCCAAAGTGGCGCCGATGCTTCAAAATTTGGGGGGAATAGTGGAATCTTCAATGTTCTGAAAGTATTGTTTTGGGCAGAAAATTTGAATAATGAAAAAAGTGAAATATAGCAGCCACCTTGTGGTAATCAGCCAACTGCCACAAATACTGATTGACGAGAGTCGTTTGATACTTCTTACTGCGTAATACGATGTCATCAATAGCCCCCGGGGTGTCCAGTATTTGCCCAGATACCTCTCTGGCCAACGCCGTGGTCAGCATTAGTTTTCCTTTGATATTCACTACTGCGCACAGGCCATGCTCAAGCTCAGCACATGGCTTGCGTCCACAGACTTCTCAGACTCGGCGAGTTTGTACAAAACAAACAAGTGTCAGCCAGGGATGAACATTTGAAAGTTTGAACCTCTTAGCCGCGCATGCGTATACAGGTAGCCAGGTCGTTAATTTTAGTTACAGGTTTTGCCCTTACCTGACGTATGTATTGTTACAAGCACTGTATACTCGGTGCTTGTCAGAGAGCTTGCAAAAAAGTCAAAAAAAGCTTATACTCGGGTGGGACTCGAATCCGTGACCACAAATCTTGCCCTGGTTGGCTGGCCTGATAAAGCAGCGGCTACCGCAAACAATTTCAAAAATAGAAATTGAAATAGCCAGATCATGTCAACATGCCCTCAGATGCGAGGCGGTCAAGTGACCCACTTCAGGATGGTTGGACTGATTCCTTTCTCTCCCCCCCCCGAACTCCTGGCATTAGGAGGACCAGACCACAGTGGAGCTGGACATTGACCACCGCATCCACAGTCGGCTGATCGGCACCAAGGGCCGGGCCATCAGCAAGGTCATGGACCTCTACAAGGTGGACATCCGGTTCCCTCGCTCCACCGACGCCAACCTGGACCTGGTCACCATCACGGGGCTGGAGGAGAACATCGAGGAGTGTCGGGAGTACCTGCTCAACCTGGAGGAAGAATACGTGAGTAGCCTAGAAAACGACCGCTGTCTGGTGCTAGCGTAAACCACTGGAGAAATGCACGGGGCTGTTTCACCTTCTCTGACAGGTGCAATATCCAAAATTGGTCAACAAGCCTGCGTGTTGAGCAGATTGTAGAGTGAAGATGGTAATGAACTTCGTAATCTGAGTGTCCAGGGTCAGAGTCGTGGTACACTACTCGAGGGAGGAATTTGTGAATAAATGTTTCTGTCTGGCGATGTTGTTATGAAGCTCATCACAAATCCCTACAAGTCCACGAGTCCATCACTGATAAATGCACAGATTCTTAAATTAATCAAGCATAAAATATCCCACAGGAGGGCATGTTCCAGTTATTCCACTAAATTTTTGGCCTGTCTCGTTTCTCCACCCCCGCAGCTACAAGAGATCGACGAGACGGCTGAGTTGCAGCAGTACACCAAGCCGCCCAGCCGCCAGGCCGATTCCCAGCAGACCAAGGCCAACAGCCCCGGGTTTGTTGTGCGCGATGCCCCCTGGAGCAAGCCCCCAGACACTACCAACACCATGGACTTCCCCAGCATCGGTGCCGGCAGCAGCGGCGCTGGTCCCAAGCCTGCCGCCAGCTCGGCTGCATCCTGGGGAGCCTGGAAACGCTAAATCCCAGGTATCCGAGTACCCAGGTACCCAGTTCGCCCATGCACCTCATAATGATGGACAAGGTTGTCGGTAGGCTCAAGAACACCCTTGAAGCACACTCTGCATGCCCGTTTATACCTTAATGCAACAGGCAACCCCATGAGTAGTGAATCTCTGTGCTGCTGCCATCGTTTTTCGTTTTAGATTTCATTTACTCCTCATGGATTTCAGACTCCTCTCTCCGGGTTGTTGTAGGCTTTTCATTTCTTGTCAATTTCTTCTGGCCAAAGCCGTATCCCATTAGGTTCCTTTTGTTAAAAGCTTCACGTCTTATGGACACAAATTCTACACGGGTGAAGTTGGAGATTTGTAGGATTCTTGGATTATACAAGGGATGTAGAGATCCTGCTCATTTCAATTGACTGCCACAAGCACATTCCTCTCCACCTGACTCGGGTGTAATAGAGTAGATCCCTGTATTCCAACAGATCATGTGGCGCACCTTCAGAAGTTGGAAACTCCCGCCCCCCCAAAAAACCCCACCAAACCTTCACAAATGAACTGTTAGTGACAGCCCGTTGGGTGCAGTGATATTGATTCCGCACTTTTCGTGCACTGGTATCGATCTCCCCCAGATGGAAGACGATCAGGCGTGCCGTCCTTGCAAACTGCATCCAATGGAGCTGAAGAGTCGGACCTTGAAAGTGAAGAAAGAAAACCTGCCCGTAGTTGTCTGATCATTTTTATGCAGACCCCTTCCTGTTGCATTATCTTAAAAAAAAAAAAAAACAAAGCAGCTTTTCTTGAATAAAACTCTATGCACTAAATTCATTGTTCAGAAGCAAATACGTAAACCATAGCAATGGCAAGGTCTATTATACGTGTAGATTTGCAGTGGAAGCTTAGCTGCAGAATGAAACGAGAGGTCACAGACAGGTCGAGGCAAAGACAACAATTATGGAGAACAGAAAATGACGTTAACTGCAATATTTTGGCAAATCGTTTACCTTTCTTCTACGAAACATTCCATGTACTTCAATTTTTTGGACTATCTTGTTGGCCTTCTTATTTGTACCGTAGTAGTTGAAATATGAAATACATTTGAGAGTTTCTGGATGCAAGGAAATAATGTGGGAGGTAACCGTTTTCCTGTAGCTCAATTACTGGTCTTTGCAAGATTATTTTTGGAAGGGCAGCGATGTTGCTTGAAACATCAAGAAAAAGGCATGTGTGTAGAAAGAACCTTTGTCTATAGAAGTTTTAGTGTGGTTTTTTTAACAACTCTGATTTTCCAAATGCGAGGATTTTTTCCCCTTTTTTATTTTCCAGTTATTTTGGTGGTGTTTATGCAGGATTTGATATTGAAGAATTTGTGGGTCAAGATACCGCAGGTTTGTGAAAAGGGAAGAATGCAAAATGAAACAAGTTGGGAATCGAGGTTTTACCGGGAGGTAACCCCCTAAAAAGGAAAGTCCTGTCAAACTCTCTACAGATTTTGAGGTAAACTTCAAGTCAGTGCCTGTTTAGTTTTGCATTTTCCCCCAAGTGCATTGGACGAGATCCGCGCTTCGGTTGAAAATTAGGATCAAAACATACGCGTGGTTTGATCTTGAATTTGTGACAGGCACTGCAGGAAGTCTGGGTCAGACCCGAGGAAGAAACTTGAATTTTTTTTCTGGAAGTGTTTTGAGATGATCTGGACTCTGCATCGATTGATTTCAGTTGAGAAAGATAGTACAACATTCCTCAGTGCTTACATCTTGATCGCCTCGTCCCGGGATTGATAACCATACCTCTGTCATGAAATACAGCATTAGATCTAGTATCCAAAGTGTGTGCTTCATGTATGTCATATACATTTGTAATTACAATTAATGACCTTTTTTTCTTTTTTTAAAATTTGTATTACCTAAATGCACCTGTGTATTAAACTAAACTCAAGAAAAGGAAGAAAAAAAATTAATGTTGGCAGCACCGTAGTAGAATAGATCTACCAGCCCATGTTTAAGGTCGCGTTTCCGTTTCACTTTCATTGCCATGATTATTTTTCTCTCTGTTGCTGTTATTTTTGCTTTGTAGGTATTGCATTTGTGTTGTCTTAAGGCGTTTCCTTTGGTTTTAAGTTCAGAAAAATTGGTTAGTATTCAGAGGTACAATTTTGTTCGTTTTCATTTGTGAGTTTTCTTCTTCAGTTTGATCAGTAATAATATATCACATATCGAACGTATATTATATTGTATATGTTTATTTTTCTGAAAATTACCGACACTATTTTGGTTGAATCTCAAGGTAGGTTTATCTTAATTAGCGAGGTAGGTTTAAATGAACTGGAGGGGATTCCAGTCGTCTGACTTTGAAGTTGACTGCGTGGCCATGCTCCTCCCAATGCAATGTAGTCGTGAATTAAACTTACATGTACACTTTACCCAATCACACTGTATTTTTAAAATGCAGTATTTGTTCTAAAAATGTGGAAATGGAGGCATATTGTATTTTTTGGTTGCCACACCATTGACAATAAGGTGTGTATCTCAGCGATGATATGAACAGTTAAGGCATTATTTCTGTGGGTTTAATTCACTGAAGTTTTCTTAAATCCAGGATGAATACGATAAGTATTACACTGCCCGTAAGATTGCTTATAAATCATTTAATCATAGACTACGCAGTGTTCTGTTAGGAGTTCAGATCGAGAGAATATTGTCAGCACCGACTATTTTGTCTCGGTTGATAAAAATGTGAAGAAATTTTGAAAATGTGATAATAAAAGTTAAATTGGAGAATTTTGTTGTGCACGTCACAAAAGGCAATGGACTTGGATGATGTACTAGGTTTGTAATATTCCAAAGATTATTGTTATGTGCCAAGTTGCTTATGAATTGGGAACTGGTCAGTTCTAAAATGAAAAAAAATTGCAACTAAAAAGTAATAAACTATTCAACTTATATTCTAAATGCATTATGTGTATCCATTCATAACAGTGTGCGTCCTTTGTTACTGGGAATTTTGAGTACTCCAAGGAATAAATGGGTACCCGTGAGGGCAGATGTGGTTTTGATATTTGCGCCGAAATGGGGCTTGTATACTCCCCAATGAGCCAAGATGGTTTCAGGAATGTTCAGGTGATGTGAGCCTAATGTGCGGGGATAATAACAGAGCCTTGATCGCCTTCATGGTGGATATGTGTTGCGTATGTTGTTGCTGCTGAAATCTGGATTCTAAAATATTCATATGGATGTTGTCTTCAAACCGAAAAAGCAGCATTTATCCAAAAGGGCTGTTTTTAAGACTCGGGGTACGAGCTGTGCTTTGACTATTCCTATTGTGGTTCTTTCCTCGCCTTCCACCCCGGCGGCCCAGGTTCGAATCCTGGCCCGGTCCACATGTGGATTGGGTTTTCAGTCCCTACCTGATTGTGGGTTTTACCCAGAATATTCCTTTGGGGTTTCTCCCACCTCTAAAAACCGTAACTGCTTCTCACTGTCTCCTCTCTACAGGTTTCTTCAGGCTTGCAAGCCACACACTCTAAAAACCTCCGGGTCAGATTGACCCAGAATTGGATCCCATTCGGTATGACCCTTTTCCGGGTCAAATACTGAAATAGTGACCCAGAAAGGGTCAAATATAACCTAGGGGGTCATATTTTGACCCAGAAAAGGGTCATACCGAATGGGACCCAATTCTGGGCCAATCTCACCCGGAAGTTTTTAGAGTGCAGTGCCTGGGGCGCTTTTGAGGATTGGAATCCTTGGTGTCATTACCAGAAATATATAATAATCATAATAAACTTGACAGGCGTGTGAAGACATCCATTGAGTATATCTGTGTAGTAAAATCAAAACAAAGGGTTTGGTTGCAAGTCACTAATACAATAGGTCAGATCTCATGCGCGTCCTACCTTAATACGTGTAGCTCGACACCGCCTGGTTTACCTCTTCGGTTGGTCCGTCTTTCCCCTTTTCTTCGTTGGATGAGAAATCCTCGCACCTTTGCTCTGATGAAAACAGCGACTATGGGCAGCGTGTGTGCGGACCGGGTTAAGCAATGTTTTCTTGCAGCACGCGATGTGGTTGGTACCCGCCATTTTGTGAAACTCCCGGATATCCACGCTGCCCCGTCCCCAGAGCCATACGCTCTTTATCACAAGAAAGAGTGGCGGTTGCAACGCCTCTGTTGCGATGTTGGGGAGTGACCTAAGAAGATATGGGACGTATCTTTTGTCAGACTTGCTTTTTGAATATATCACATTATTCTGCAGTTGAAAGCGAACGAAATTCTTGGTTATAACAAGTGAAAACGTTTTCCATCGACAAAACAAGGAGGTGAATGCCGCGCAACTGTGCCACCCCTGGACCCGTTATACCGCATTGGTGTTGAATCGCCAATAATAAACATCCACTATACACCTCACAGCTGTTATACTGAGATCACTAAGAAGAAATGGACCCAAACAGGGCTGGGATCAGTTTCATTGTCGAAAATTCCGGAAATAAGATCCTAAATGAGACTAAATAAGCATCAATCCCTTAGCTCACTGTAGGCCCTATTCCAATCTAGAAAACTGCCTTGTGGGTTCTGCGCCAAGGGACATGGAAAAAAAAAGAATTAATGTGAGGGGAAAATCCAAAAGGTATGCGTTGTTGACCAAGCATTCAGGCGCACGGACTCCTGAAATTTGCAAGGAATCGCAGTTTCGCCTAAACCTGTCTTTTATATTAATCTTCAACAGTTCATGGGCCAGAAATGCTCTATTTCGTAGAGAATTCGAGTGCGTACGAATTCTGATTTGGCCCGCGCATGCCGTTTTCGGCCCATTCACTGGCCTACAACCTACGGAGCCTGAAAAAGCACTGCCCGCCAATATATTTTGAGGTTTCTGTTGCCGACGACAGGATTTGGTGGCATGGTATTTTAGAACTTTTTTTCAGAAATACACGTAGAAAGAGAAGTTTGTCAGGATATCTAGATCAATTTCTCATATCAATACCAACGCCAATCATGATTTATTTGAATGAATAAAAAATCATGCCTCACTGTAACTTGAAACTAAATTGAAAAGAAAAAAAAATGGAGAGCGAAAACGAGAAAGCGATGAGAAGTTGAACCATGGCGAATAAAAGCGTTTTTTCCTCTTTTGAGTTTATTTCATCATTTTCCTGCTTGTATTTTGGGGCAGACCTGTCTGGCCAGTGATGGATCAACCATTCAGTTCAACAGAAAGAGCGCAGTTGCAACGCCTATGTTGCGATGTTGGGGGTGGCCCTAGAAGATATGGGACATATCTTTTGTAAGACTTTCTTTTTGAAAATATCACATTATTCTGCCGTTGAAAGCAAACGAAATTCGTGGTTATAAAAAAGGAAAACATTTTTTTTCCATCGACAAAACAAGGAAGTGAGTGCCGCTCGACTGTGCCACACCTGGATCAATACCGCATAGTATTCGCCATCGCCAGTAGTAAAGAACACCACACACCTCACAGCTTTTATACTGATATCGCTGAAAAGAAATGGACCCGAACACGGTTGGGATCGGTTTTATTTTCAAACATTTAGGAAATTTGGATTATACATGAAAATAAATCACCATCAATCCTTTAGCTCACTGTATTCCAACCTAGAAAACTTCCTCGTGGGTTCTGCGCCCATTGTGATGGAAAATAAATGTGGTGAGGGAAAAATCCAAAAGTTATGCGGTGTTGACCAAGCATTCAGGTGCACGGACTCCTGAAATTCGCAAGGAATCGCAGTTACCGGCTTCCATATAGGACTCTTCTGGGATCTCGGGGTTCCCGGCCCACCACACTTCCTCCCTGCCCATCCATTTAACCCCAAAAGGGCTCGAGC